GAGTCCTTAGCCATCTTCAAGAAACGACTAAAAACACATCTGTTCCACCTTTATTTGACCCTCTAACTCTAGCATTCCAATTCTAATAAAAAAAAAAAAAAGTTTTTCTATTCTATTTTTTCTATTCTATTTACTTGTTTTTCTTTGTGTGTGTGTGTGTGTGTGTGTATAATATATATATATATACACACCTTGCTACGTGTTCTGCGTTAGGCTAACCGAGACTTTTGCACTTATATATCGTTGCTCTTTTGTTAGTTTTGATTGCTTCTATTGTCCTCATTTGTAAGTCGCTTTGGATAAAAGCATCTGCTAAATGACTAAATATAAATGTAATTCAAAATGAGAATAAATACTATAATAGCTGTGATAGGTGCACTCACCCTGACTTGCTCTGCGTCTCGGACGTCCTCGACTGCTTCTCTGAGCCGCTCACCCGAACTCAAATATCCCTGCGGCCTTCGTCCATCCTCCTCTTCATCGTCTCCTCGTGCATCCGCTCCCAAGCCGATCCCGTTGCTGTAGAGGCACAGGTCGGTCTTGGCCTCCTCCATGAAGGCGGGGTGCAGCGGCGCGTCGGCTCCCGCAGGTTTGCAGGGCGGCGGCGGGTCCTCGCTGAGTTTGGGCGTCCCGCGGGCCGGGGACTGGGCCGTGTCCATGCCGAGTCGGGAAAGGTCCGGGTTGTGGACGGAACAGGCGCGGCGCGGGCTGAGAGACGGAGGCAGCTCGGGGTACGAGTCGCGCTCGCTCACCTGCAGGAAGGAGGTGTAGATGGTGTCCATGAAGGAGGCGTACGGGTCAAACGTCTCTCTCTGCTGCAGCGGCGCCTGGACCGGGCTGAGCAGGGAATCCTGGGACATCTGAGCCGAGGGAAGCTGCTCCTGAGACGGAGGCGTCTTCTCTCCCATGAGCGCCGGCGTCATCGTCAGCTGAGAATGAGAACACACACCCATAAACACTGACTGATTCATGTTTCGCATGATTTTTTAAAAATTTTACAGTGAAATACAAACTGGGCTTAATGTATGAATTTCTTGAATATTAAAAAGAATGCAAAAAATTATTATTGATTTAATAA